GCTTTTTCCTGACTGAGAGCACTGATGGCTGTTATTTTTTTCTTAACATCATGACCTGAAATATGCAACACGGAAGTCTTATTGAGTCTTACTTGCCAAAGAGTATCTTCAGCATCCCAGCATTTCTAGGAATATCTTCATTCTGCAATAGGATTTTTTTAAAAAAGCATTACATGACAAATATATCAGTACTTGGTCTGGAGTGGAAATTTTATAACTGAATTATAAAATCTTAGAAACAGTATGGTTTGTAAGGAAAACTATAAGGAGTAGTAGAAGGGATATAATAACACATGTGCAAAATCTTCCCTTCATTTTGTGAATAGACCATTTAAATTAAATTAGGCTGAGGAGGTAAATTCCATTGTTTCATTTGTTTAATATTTCGTGTCAATTTTTATAGATAAAATTACATTTGGCAATAAATAAGAAGAATTTACGCAACCTGTTCTGGTTTGATATCCCATTTCTCTCCAGCTGTAAAGAAAATTCATTATTACATCTCTGATTGTAAAAGGTGGATCTCATTACACTGATAATAAAACAACTTTTTCAAAATGACAGCAATACAGGATATCATACATCTGCTTTTAGTGGCACTGAATTTGTAGGTTAGGCACAGTTGTGCCGAATCTTTCCATCTCATAATATATTGGAGCTCAACTGAACATGTGAAACTTACTGTGGACTTTTAAATGTTTATAGTAAGCGTTTGACATTTTAGAAATATGTTAAGCAGTTAATGAAAGTAGACAGTATATGTTTATGGGTAGGTATAATCAGTGCAAAAATAGCCCGAAATGCAAGAAAAGACAGATTCTTGTAATTCACTGTTTGAACCTCGGCATTGTGTTGATGAGCAGCATTTCAGTTTTAATTTTGTGTGAAGTGGCCACCAGGTGTCATCAGAATACTTTTTTTTACACTGGTAACTACCACTTTGCATGGCTGTACTTTAAAAAAAAACTTTAGATTTATTATTAAGCATAGCTTAGTATGAAATATTTTGTGTTTTTCTTGAGGTTATTGTGACATCGTACTTCCACAGAAATAACGGAAAAAGTTACGGCTGCTAAGCCAGCCGGTTACCTTTCTATGCTGCAACAGCTTTATGGAACAAGGGGCAATAGTTTTCGTGTGAGAAGGCAGTTCCCTGATTTGCAGTGATGCTGTTGTGAGGTTGAGCTACATCCCTCTGCACATATGTGGTAGTGACATGATAGACTACAGGTAGTCCTTGGCTTAGATCCGTTCATTTAATGAACATTCAAAGTTACAATGGTGCTGGGAAAAAGTGACTTATGACCATTTTTTCACAGGACTGTTGCAGCATTCCCATGGTCATGTGATTAAAATTGGAATACTTGGCAAGTGGAATGTATTTAGGATGGTTGCGGTATCCAAGGGTCAGGTGATCATCTTTTGCGATTTTCTGACAAACAAAGGGGGAAGCTGGATTCACGTAAGAACTGTGCTATTAAATTAACAGCTGTGATTCACTTAACAACCGTAGCAAGAAAGGTTGTAAAATGGAGCAAAACTCACTTAACAACTATCCTTCATAGCCACAGAAATTTGGGGCCCACTTATGGTTGTAAGTGAAGGACTTGTAGTCTATAATATTGTCACTTCCACATATGTGCACATATGCTGCAGTACATATGCACACATGCAGCGGTACTGTTGCACTTCAGCTGCTGAATGCTCCATTTTCCAGAACCTCACCAACCTAAACAAAGTCTGCAGAAAAGCTGGGTTTTAAAGCTGGCTTCACTGCTGGAATGGAGCAACACTACTAAACAGGACATTCCCTTTGTGGGAAACAGCAAGTTAAGCTCCAGAACATGTCCGCCCTATGAGAAAATTAAAGAATTTACTGTACCTTTATTTATAATTTTTTAAAAATCTAATGTGTATCTGCTTTCTGTTTCCTTATTTTTTTTACTGTATCATCTATCTTTCCATTTTCACTAATGCACCAGCATAACTCTTTAGATTTTTGTTTTCTTGTTTGATGAATGCGGAGTTAGTCCTCAAGAAGAAAGGTTCTAGAATGAAGATTGCAGTAATCTTCTAGCAACACATGTGGAGCTTTTTCTAAGGCGACACAAAGTGATCTCTAATCATTACCTAATCCTACACGATTTGCCAATTTAGGACTGCAAATATCATGCCATTTCTTATTATAAGGCAGAGAGCAGAAGTACAGAAATATACGGCAGAACTTTTCCATGTTGTATTGCCTTGTTCCTGGTGAAAGGACCACCATTTTCAAACTCCAAATTATTGAGATGCCAAGTTTTAACTTATGTCAAAGAGGTGATCATATCTTTGAGGTTGTAAATATTACTTGCTGCTTTTTATATCATTGGACATTACTTGTAATGAAGGAGATGTAGACCATGTCTGTATTAACTAAAGTCTAGTGGTATTGCTGAATATTGACAGATTATTTCCATGAATGTATAATGTAAAACTAGCATATTTATTAAGATTACATCCCAGGGTCCTGAAGAAGCTGGCCTATATGATCTTGGAACTACTGAACAAAATCTTTCAGAGCTCCTGGAGCACAGAGAAAGTGCCAGAGCACTGGAAAACAGCTGATGTGGAACCAGGAAGCAATAGGCCAATCAGCTTGATATAAATACCTGGGAAAATCCTAGAAAAGAATAATCAAATAGCAGGTTTGTGAGCACCTAGAAATGAACAAGGTGATTAATAGAAGCCAGCATGGGTTTATTAAAAACAGATCATGTCAAACAAACCTCATCACCTTTTTTGGTAAAGTGATTAGTGGATCAAGGAAATGCTTTGCATATAGTCAACTTTATAAGGCATTTGACAAAGCCTACTTCTGGTAAGATAAAACAATGTGAGATAGAAAGTACCACCACCAGATGGATTTACAACTGGCTGACCAACTGCATTTGGTGTGTAGTCTTAATGGAATTACATTTACATGGAGGGAAGCATGCAATGGGGTACCTCAAGGTTCTATCTTGGCCATTGTGCTCTTCAACATCTTCATAAATGATCTAGATGAGTGGATAGAAGGGACCCATCAAATTTGCAGATGAGACCAAGCTAGGGGGAATTGCTAACACTTTGGAACACAGACTCAAGATTCAGAAGGATCTTGATAGACTTGAGCATGGGGCCCTGTCCAATAAGATGCAGTTTAGTGGTGAGAAAAGTAAGCTCCTGCATTTAGGCAGGAAAACACATTCTCAGGTACAGAATTGGCAGTACTTGACTCAACAGTAGTGTCTGTGAGATGGATCTAGGTGTACTAGTGACCACCACTTAAGTATGAGCCAGCAGGGTACTCCAGCTGCCCCCACCCACAAAAAACACACATAAAAACCCAACAATGGAGTCCTAGACTGCATCAGTGAAGGGATAGTATCAAGATTATGAAAGTGATCGTACCACTTTATACTGTACTACTGAGTAAACACTTGGAATACTGTGTCCAGTTCTGATCACCATGATACAAAAAAATATTCTGAGATCATAGAAAGTATGCAGAGAACAGCAACAAAGATGACAAGAGGTCTGGAGAATAAACCATATGATGAACAATTAAAGGAACTAGATATGTCTAGCCTAACAAAGAGAAAGATTAGGGATGACATAGTAGCTGTCTTCCAGTATTTGAGGGGCAGTCACAGAGATGAAATGGTTAATTTACTCTCCAAAGCACCTGAGGGCAGGACAAGAAGGAATGGGTGGAAACTCATTAAAGAGAGAGCCTACCTGGAATTAAGGAAATATTTCATGACTGAGACCAATTAACTAATGGAACAATTTGCCTGTCTGAGTTGTGGATGCTCCATTGCTGGAGATTTCTAAGAAAAAAATTGGACATTCATTTGTATGAGATGTAAAAGGACTCCTGCCTTGGGCAGGGGGTAGGACTAGAAAACCTCTGGGGTCCCTTCCAGCCTTAGAGATTCTATGATTACAGAAATAATCTAATATCTTCCTTTACTTATCAGTGAAACATCTATCTGGATCACATTCTTGAAGCTCTGACAGTTATAATTCCTTGAATGTGTCAGTGGCCTTTAGAGTCATCTTGACAGAGGATTTGGACCAGGCCTAGTATAGTAGGGGCAGTCTGAACAAATCTATTTTTGATATTGCTATTTGCAATAAAATAGCACCCAAACCACTTAGAATTATACAGGTTGTTCAATAAACAATTCAGAAGAAGGCACAGACAAATCACTTCTGTGTTGTTGCCAAGAAAAGAACACAAGCAACAGCAACAACAAAATGGACGTATTCATGAGTCCCAGAATCCCAGAGCCAAGCTTAACTTGTGAGAAGAATTGTTTTTATTTGAATGGATGCCATCTTTAGGTTTTGGTGCTGGCTTATTTATCTCTATTTCATTGTTTTGAGTAAATCATGCCTTCTTAACATCAATTTCAGTTTGAAGTCAGTTGTTCAGTTATAAAAAATTTAATTGGGGAAATAGTATTTGTTCTCTGTATTCTAGTTGCCCTTTAAATAAATGCAATGCTTTCTTAGAATATTATGTCAAGCTATCAAACACAAAGGTCACATCTTTTACATTTGAATTCCCAAAATGGACATATTATTTTCATTGCAACCTTGATATGACTTCTATAGATTGGTTCCACTTAAAGTATATAATTGTATTCAGAAGTGCTGGAATTAAGTAATATCTATCTGCATTGTTGTAAGTTATAAAATTTTGTTTTTAGTGACACTAAAAGTTATTTCTGTTTTCCATGATTTTTACTGATGTCTGTTGTGCAAAAAAATCCTAACTATTTTTTTATTTAGATGACAAAATATACTGTTCTATGTAAGAAAATATTTACCAAAATCAATAGCTGAATATGTCATTGAAATTTGTTAAAGTAATAGCATACATTTGGCAAGTTATGAATTGGATTGTAATAAAACATGTTTGTTTTTATGTACACAGAAGCTAATTTATACTTTCTGTTTTTTTCTCTTTTTAGACATTCCTAGAACAGATGTACTAATTCATTTTATTGGGATTATACTCTACATTATCTTCATTAAGGATGAATGTTGAAAAAAGTCAGAATTATGAATGTGATGAAAACATAAAAAATGAGTTACTACAAGACAGCGCTAAAAATATTTTAGCAGGAAAAACTCCCAATGAATCTTTTTCTAACTCAAAAATGCTTCTGATGAAAGAACTGAAAAATCCACTGAAAAACCCAGAAGAAAATGGCTTATCTAAACGGCCATTTTCCCAAACAACTGGTCAGGAACTCAATGAAACAACTATAATTGACAATGAACCTGTCTCGAAAAGATTAAAGCTGGTTGGTACAAAACCTGCAAAAGGGAATGAAGTAAACCCTTCTGAATCTACAACATATGAATATTCTATTGATGGGACAAATAAACCAGTAGGAAAACTGGCTACAAACACCTCTCCAAGTAGAGGTTCATTTTCATCAAATTCTTCATGCATTCAGCAAGAATTTGTGCCCGAAGATAATACTGTACATATAACACCTATGGAAAATGTATCTTCTCAAGAGAATGAAACATTACTTCCAAAATGCAAATCATCTATCTTAGATGATTCAACTGGCATTACAATGAGTACTATTAAGAATGTTTCAAAATGCAATATCTGTAAGGAGATTTTTTCTTCTGCTCTTGATTTAGAAAACCATATTCAGGAACATCACCTTAAGCAATCAAAAGAAAAAGGGAATTTGTATTCTACTTCTAAATCAGAGCATACTTCATCTTTGCAAGCGCATGTCAAGCAGACTTCTGGTCAACTTACCTATTTTTGTGATCTCTGTGGTTATCAGACTTTTAAGGAAGTTCTCCTAGAAGCTCATTTTCTTGGTAAGACACACCTCCGACGACAAAATCTGGCTGCCCGTGGTGGATTTGTAAAGATGTTAACAAAAAAATCATTTTATAAAAAACAGCGGTTTCCAATCAAAGAAAAGAATGTCAGAAAGAAATTGGCATCTAATAAACAAAAAATAAGAGATGAGCTTTCAGATCCTTTAAGAATTTCAAGCAATAAGATAGAGAACCTGAAAGAAAACTGTCAAGATTTAGCTGAAATGATACCATCCACTGAATCAACAGAATGTATTACTAAGGAAGAGGCCTTATTGTGGAAGGTGGATGGAAATGGTGAAAAATCAGATGTATCAGAGTCTTCAGAATGCAATCCATGTTTATTGAAACCTGCTAAAAGTAGTCAGGTCACAGCTAACAACTTAAAGGTCACGGGCATATTAGGTAGTTTCCAGAAAAAAAGAATCCTATCCCGAGGAATGACTTTCAGGCAAAGTACTTTTTTCAGACTAAATCAGCAGATTAAAAGAAGATACAATCTTTTAGGTATTGGTAAAAAAAGCAAGCTTGATTTTAGAGTGAAGCATAGCAATCAGGGAGAGTTGCATCAGAGTGATTTATCACAGGCCAAAGTTTTACAAAGTGAAGGCAATGGCAAGGATTTCTGCGTGGATATCCCCAAAACAGCAGCACTACATCAAGTTGAAAAAACTATACTGGAACATAAGACTACATCAGAAAAGGAACTCGATGAGCAGAGAACACTAGATCCTGGTAACCGTGTTGGATCTACCTTGTCAAATAAAGAAGACCTGAAATTGGATGCTGATAAAACGCAGGGTGAATTTAAAGTCCATTGTCAAATATATGGATATTCCTCTGACAGCAAGGACCTGGAATGTCATCAAAATAATAATCATATAGAAAATAGCAAGATAAATTGCCCTAAATGTTTGTTTCTTGCCCCAAATGAAATAAGCCTTGGGAAACACATGTCCGATGAGCATAGCATGGCTTTCTCTTGTTCTGCTTGTTGCGAATATTTTCTAACCGAAGAAGAAGTAGCAGCTCATAATGCAACTGAGCATCATAGTGATTTATTGTCTCAAGAAAATTCCATTCGGTCACTTAGGAGTGATCTGGCTGTGCATTCAACATCTTGCCCTTCAGGTGAACTTCCCAAGGTTGTAGAATCGAAAGCACAACAGGAAGATGTCAAGCTCTCAGTATTACAACCTGGTAGTCAGTTCAAAGAGTCTGCTTTGAGCAGAAGTCAATTTCAGTGTAAAAAATGTTTTTATAAAACAAGGTCTTCTTCTGTGCTTACAAGGCACATAAAACTTCGCCATGCTCAGGAATACCATTTCCTTTGTAAAGCGTGTAACCTTTATTCATTAAGCAAAGAAGGAATGGAAAAACACATAAAGCGAAGCAAACACCTTGAAAATGCCAGAAAAAACAACATTGGCTTACAATTTGAGGAATGTATTGAAAAGATATGTGTAGGTGGAATAGATGGTAAAAAAGGAACTGAAGGCCCTATTTGTGGAAGTTTAAAGACAGTGTTAGAAAATGAGAGTATACATGCACCTTTCTCTTCTCTGCAGAAGGTATCGATAAATAAAGAGTTGTACCCATCAAATGAAATGATTAAAGATAATGAGTTGATTCTTGGCAGCCTGCAAAAGAAAGGTAGGCCTAAAGGGACGATTTCCCGGACATGTCCTCATTGTGGTCTATTGGCGTCTAGTGTAACAAATTTGACTGTTCACATTCGCCGAAAGCATAGCCACCAGTACAGCTATTTATGCAAAGTATGCAATTACTATACTGTAACTAAAGGTGATATGGAACGTCATTGTGCTACAAAGAAGCATAAAAGCCGCTTGGAAGCCATTGGGGAGAAAAGTGTTGAGTTTATTGTTTGCCCAGAAAATGATAATATCGAAGCCAAAGTGAAGAAAACAGACAATCCAGGAAACCTTTCAAAAGAATTAATAGTTTCTAATGATCAGGTTTCAGAGACGGACCAACCTATTTTGGAAAACAAGGTAGATGAACAGAACAATATCATCCAATTAAGTGTCAAAAATATAATTCACCTTCCCAAAATAGATAGCGGTAGAAACTTTTCTGAAACACAACGTAAAATTGCAGAATCAAGTAACGTTAGCCAGGATAAAAATGTGCAGGTTCAAACAAGACTAGCAACTGCAAATGATAACAAATGTGCTCATTGTAACTTCATTGCACATTCTTTTTCTTCCTTGGAAGTACATATAAAACGCAAGCACACTAAAGAATTTGAATATTACTGCATGGCCTGTGACTATTATGCAGTTACTCGCCGAGAGATGATTAGGCATGCTGCAACAGAAAAGCATAAAATTAAAAGACAGTCATATATTGCTTCTTCTGGAGAGGAGGCAGATATAGCAAGTATTGCCAAAGAAACTGCTGTTGTTTTTGGAGAGGAGCAACAAAATACAGAAGATCTTCAGATTTCACTAGATGAAACAAAGTCCAAAAGTAATATAGAAGAGGAAAGTCCAAACAATGAGGTCATGCAAAAAGCAAATAAGTCACCTACCTATTTGGCATTAGAAGATAGTATTGCTTCAGAGGTTTCTAAAGATTGCATTCTTGAGGCTGTAGATGCTGAAATGGAAGATGGAACAGATCAAGGCAGAGAAAATACAAGTCGTGAAGAAAATGATCAGGATGGAGGTCTTAAACTCAATGAGATGGTTGAACTTAAGGAAACAATTGATTGTGTTCTGCATCAACATCAAGAAATAGCAAAATCAAACATTCATTTGACAACAGAACCTGGAGATGAAAACATGGCTTTTGATGAAAGTTCTCCAAATTCAGATTTAATGAAAAATGAAAATAAATTGCAGGAAGATTCTGAAAAAAGATACGAAAGTTCAGAAGTAGTTACTGAAGAAGTGAAAACAGATGAAACCCATTTATCTATAGTTTCAGACACTGGTAGTGCACTGGAGCAGGAAAACATCAGTGAAAGCACTGAAAGTTTTAAAAACATCCACATTTTACAGCAACAAATAAACACTAGGCAATGTCCTACAGCGGAAGAAGAGGTTACCTTGATAGATGCACAGCAGGAAGCAGAAGTGTCTTTGAATAATATTTGGGGTTCAGATAGTTCAGTAGCTGAAGCCATGGACAAAAATGATATAGCTTTGGATGCTTTAAACGGTGTTGATGGCAAAATAGTAGATGGAACAGGCGTGCAAAACTCTGATCAGTTTGATTCTTCAATAGTGAAAATAAGCCATGAAGACGGTTCGGAACAAGTCGATCGCCCAGTTGATGGCCAGAACCTGAGTAAGCAAAAAAGTTGGGACAGAGCTGTAAAAGTGGATTGCCCACGGAATGATGGAAAAAAGAAGAAGGTAGAAGGCCATCCTGTGAGAGAATCTCCACGGATTTGTTGTGATGACTGTGGTTTTTTAGCAGATGGTTTAAGTGGACTAAATGTTCACATAGCCATGAAGCATCCATCAAAGGAGAAGCATTTCCATTGCTTGCTATGTGGAAAATCATTCTACACCGAGAGCAGCCTTCATCAGCATCTTGCTAGTGCTGGCCATATGAGAAACGAACAAGCAAGTGTTGAAGAGTTGCCGGAGGGAGGTGCCACCTTTAAATGTGTGAAATGCACAGAACCTTTTGATTCTGAACAAAATTTATTCCTTCACATAAAAGAACAACATGAAGAACTGCTCCGGGAAGTCAATAAGTATATTGTTGAAGATACTGAACAAATTGTCCGAGAGCGAGAAGAAAATAAAGGCAATATTTGCAAATATTGTGGGAAGATATGCAGAAGTAGTAATTCAATGGCTTTCCTAGCTCATATCCGTACTCATACAGGTATGTATTGATGAGTTGTACAATTTAGTGTTTTGTGACTAAAATTGAATTAAGATTCCTCCCACCCTCACTTCCTCCCCCCACCCCTTCTCCCTCTTCCCCCTTTGAAACTTTTAAATCAGTCCTTCTAAAACTCTATTCTGACAATATATGATTTCCATATTCATTGATTAAAGATATAGATGTTAACTTTTAGAAGTAATTTTTAGAAGCCAAAGAACAGGAAGATTAATTTTCTTAAAAATTTTCAATAGCATCTCTTTTGTTAATATACATTTTAGAGATTATATCTCCAGATAAGCCTATAATTCACTAATTTCATTGTAACTCATGAAATGAATAATTTGTGGTTTCATAGGATATTTTCCTTTGAAACAATGGATCTCTTCTGCTTGTACAATGTGGAATTGCTTGGCAAATTTTTCATGCAAGTATGTATGTATAGGTGTGGATGTGGATGTGGATGTTCTGTCTGTCTGTCTGTCTGTCTATCTCTGTCTCTACCTACCTACCTACCTACCTACCTACTTACCTGGCATTGATCTGGAGTTTCATTTCCCTTTTTCTGGCTTTCCCCCTCCTTTTCTACCAAAGATTAGGTGCTTAAAACAAGGTGTTTTGTAGTATGTTTTAAGGGGAGGAGCAAGCCACCAGGCAAGAGATATTGATGAAATGAGACATTCAACAAAGTCGGTGTATGAACAGAAGATACACAAATACAGTTGCATAAATAAATCTACCTACCCAAACAGATGGACTAAAAGTTTCCTTTATCCATGAACACAAAGTAACAAATTTTAGCTTTGCTGATGCTTCTGTTGATACCATATTGGTATGGCTCTAGCTAGTCTTCCACTAATTGAGTTTGTATAAATCCCAGTCTGAGATTATTTATTGGATGGATAAAAATATTAAGCTAAAGGGGAGGACTGGAGTTTAAAGAGAGCACAGATAAAATGAAACAGAGATGGGTAACTGAGATCTGAAGGTATTGATCATCAAGAAATTTGGAGATAGTTCATTTCTGAAGCCACCATTTCTGGCAATGATCAGCTAGTGGACTCACACCAAGAGAGCTAGTTCAATGTAGAAGCTACCAGGCTAGAAACTGGGAGACCATGAATATCTATCCTTAGGCGCAGAGCCAACTAGAAGACTTGGACCAGTCAACCTCTCTCATCCCAAGGAAGTTTTGCAGTGGTAAATCACTTCTGAAAATGTTGGTAAGAAAACTTATAGGATTTGTTCACGTAGTTGTCCAAATACTGACTCCAAGACAAAGAAGAAATAGAAAAAGAAAAAAATCACACCAAGTTGGGAAAAATTAGGACAACATATGAGGAAAAAACCTCAGAAAGTAGCTTTCTGATTCATTCCCCCCTTTCTTTCTTTCTTTCTTTCTTTCTTTCTTTCTTTCTTTCTTTCTT